GAAGCACTTTTACTGCCCCAAAACGTGATGACAGACACACGAAAAAAAAAAAACACACATCATGGTAAAATCAATACATTCATCGCTCCGCTCAGAATTTAAAACGGCAATTTATGAGTGTCTGAAGTTTAAGTTCTGATTAAGTTAAATACATAAACTACCAGCTTGTACTACATTGTACCTACCATGATCATATTCATACCGTTCTAYAGTAAGTTAGTATTAATATTTAACTCATAACATTTGAGTCATAAGTTAGTAAAAATTGTGATATTATAAAGTGAAATAAATATAGGTAGGTTAGGTTAGGTTACCTATACGTTTTGTCTAAAACTAAGTTTTAATTTTTAAATTTTTTTTAACAATATACAGTGGAAACTGAACCTAACGGTTTGCCATTGGTAAGAAAATCGTGTATCCGCTGTTCACCCGGGACATTCCCATCGTCAGATCGAACAAAGTGTTTACCTTGTCAAGTGGCGAATTGCACATGTCCACAGACTTCCCACGAGTGGCTTTTGGACGGAACYCTGTGCGTGTTCAGCCAAAATCTGACTTTATGGCYCGACGAAAGAGAGACGCACATCGTCGAATACGATATTGTTGGTGTGGAAGTGGAATCCAAATATTTGAAAAAGCATTTGAGGGCACTTTTGTATAAATGTGTCAAAGTATAAAAAATTATATTAATTTCATATATGACTTAACGCATAACAAGCAACAGCAACATTCAATATAATTGAAGCTTATATACGTGATTTGTAGATGAAACACAGGATGTCGTGCGAGTCTCTTGGCAACCTTTGCACAGTACAAATGTACAAGGACGAACGGAAAGTCAACCCGTGTAGGGTGTTCAAAGACTACAGACGCATACCAACGTCGTCGGATGTTGACCGCTTGCCATTGCCTTGGATTTACTACGGCGAAGGAGATGCTTCTATTGCGCTGAACAGGAAAAAAATCACGTCCAAGTACACCATAAGACCTGGCAGTCACGTATGTACTTGTAAATTACATTATGATGTACCCATCAATCACCAACGAATCCCAATAAATACTTTCTTTTCACGTATTTATCGTATTTTCAATGATTTATGATATGCAATGGCAAAGTGTTCAATTAAAGTCTTAAAAAATATAGTTCAATCCTAACTATAATGCCCACTCACTTTACCCACCTAATCAATTACCACGAAAAAAATAGCTTAAACATTAACTCTAAATTTTTCAACACTAAAAAAAAGTGGCGAGTATTGCCCCGCAAACAGTTCATCCATCATGTGGTGATATAAAAACAATTATTGTAAATCTAGCTATTTAATAATAGAAAAATTACATACCTTCGAATCCTACAATGTATCTACATAATAATTTTATTAGAATTACTAAGACCTTACCAGAGGGGGATAGGCAATGTTTGAATTGGGGAAGAGGAACGTTAGGGGACAGAGATCACTTCCTTATACTCTCTTTTTTAATGTGTTCTCCTATTTTTTTTTTTTTTGAAAAGGAATGTAAATTAGTGAATTCCCAGTTTTCTGATGCAAAATATTATAGCCATAATACTTTTACTTTGTAACAATCAAACAAACAAAAAAAAAAA